TGAAAAATATTAAGTTTTATGGAGAAAAAAAAGTTTTAAACAGAAAGAATAAAAATAGGTAAAATGATAAATAGAAAGGAAGAAAATCAAAACCAATAGGGGTGGTTGTTGAACCCACGCCCTTAACCTTCTCAGGATGTATGCCTTGTCATGTATTGGTGTCATGTGTTGGCTGTTCTGTTTTGGCCATTTGTGTTTTAGCCTCAACGTTCTATAATAAACCTGCATGGGATCCTGTCTAAATCTGAATTGTTGAATCTCATGAACACATTAAATAAATTACTATATATCATGAAATACAAATAAAGCCAATATATAAAAAAATTTAATGTTAAAACCGATATGACATGTATGAATGATTATACCCTTTTGATCATGGAGATCAAACCAGCCTTATCCTTACTGGAGAAGTAGTAATATGAATGCTTTTATGCCATTTTGATCATGGAGATCAAGCCAGCCTTACCCTTACTGGAAAAGTAGTGATATGAATGCTTTTATACCCTTTTGATCATGGAGATCAAGTCAGCCTTACCCTTACTGGAGAAGTAGTAAGATGTGAGTTTGTAATAAGGATGACTTGTTTGTAGTAAGATGGAGGTTTGTAATAAGGATTTCAAGGTTTTAGGATTCTTGAAAGAATTTGATATTCTTACAGCGTTGTGGCAAGGGTTTTTTTGTCTCTTTTTTTGTTTGTGTGAAAATAATGAGATTATATAATGGAAATTAGAGAGAAAAATGGGCTTTGAATGTGCAATTGGGCCTCCAATGTTCACTTGAGTTCGTCACGTTCTAGGAAAATTCAGAGGGGCTTAAGTGCAACTTTTGAAGTTGAAATGTGAAAACAAAATGTAGCCGACATCGAGAACTAACTCCTGTCTGAAAATGGGCTCAATCGGATAAACGGTGAATTAGTTATGAATTTTTGAAGTTTCAGCTCAGACAAACTTATTTTGGGCTCCAGTGTCGACTCTGACACGTTCTTCAATAAAAAATTGGTATTGATTAGAGCATAATCCGGTCTCGACTTTGGAATCAAAGTTGTAGATCTCTGAGTCAGTGACCTTGTGTAAAAAGATGAGCCCGATCCGATAAAAATTGACCGAGTTATGAATTTTCGAAGTTTCGATCCAGATGAAATAATATTCAGCATTCAGGATTTTTGGCGCGTCACACGCACTCTGAGCAAAGAACGAAGGCCTTTTGGATACCGTTCGAACTCAATACCTCCTGTGAAAACTTAGCCAACTCAATTTGTGAAATTTTGACGCTGGAACCAGTTCGATATGATGAAAATCGACCAAATTATGATTTTCTGAACATGACACAAATAAACTTCCGTCACAAATTTTCTGTACGAAAATACTTGATAAATCCGTATTTTTGAAGACCTTCTGATCGAAATTGGCTTCCAGCCGTGAGAGATGAAAACGTAGATGACGTCAATACGGAATTTTGGCCACTGGAACGTATTCAAAACGAGTCACGATCTTCAAGTTATGAATTTTTTAGCGCGTAAAAACTGCACTTTCAGCACACTTTTTCACCATATTTCTTCGAGAAAACTCACCAATTCGAATACCTTCTTTAAAAAATTGACTCTTGAGCCGAACCTGAATTTGAGAATACGTTATCAGAGATATCTTGGCGAAAGAACACCTGAATATGACGCGCCGAGTTGGACTTGTGAATCTTTGAACCCGAATCGTTGCAAAACGGCGAACCGATCTTCAGCACGGAAAATACTCTGAGAATATCCATTGACGAATAAACGTCACTTGTAACCTGAAGAAGCTTGATAAATATACATTTATTCTATAACCATAAAACCAATAATATGCGTGTATGAAAAGAGGGTAAATTTTGGGGTACAACACCCTCCTTTCGGACCACCCCTTCCGAGAATAATCTTTTCGATTCAACCACCGAATCAATGGTGCAAATATCCTTCCACCACCTAGACAAATTTGTCGGGGAAATCTCATTCTCAAGATCCTGCTTAAACAAGATACGATTCTCATATTTTGCCATTTCTTTATAAAAAACGTGCTGACCAAATACTGAGGAAATCTGTAGCTGAGCATGAGGCAAGACTGATCTTGACTAGGGGTGTGCAAAAAAACTGGTTTACACGAACCAATTTTAAAAATTCAGTGCACCAATTTTTATTATCCAATTTGTGTTGGATGTAAACCGCTCCAGATCCATTTTGATATCAAAACAAAAATCTGGTTTCCATTTTTGATAACCAGTTGTCATACATAAAACCAAATGTATATGATATTATTATTAATGAATAAGATATTATTAAGGCACATGAAATTCAAATTCGTGTAAACCAATTTATATAATATTCTAATTGAAAATGGAAAACTAGTTTATATATTTTATTTTATTTATTATTAATTAGTTAATTAGAGTGGTGATTAGTTAAGGGAAGAAGAACTTATTAAGTTAATTATGATAAACGATTGTTAATCTGTGTTATTTTGTTTAACTGTTATAGTGTAGCAATTGTTTTGAAGTAGATTTTGTCTTGGTTTTAGGATGTTTTGTTTTAGTTTTTTTGGGTTCTAGTTTTAGTGTTATCGTACAACTTTATCATATATTAAAGTGTAATGTTTTTACTCTTAAATTGAATTTTACTTTTTTGTTTTTCAAAAAAATTGTGAAAAACGATTTGTGCTGGTGTTTGAATATAATAGTATAAAAATAACACATGCATTTGCATCTTATTCCCTTCATTAACCTGAATTTTTTTCGTCTATTCAAATCAAGAAAGATACAATTTCCTTATAAATCAATTTTGATTGAAAACCGGTTTAAATCGGTTTTGAACCAAATTGAAACTATTTTACAATTTTAAATTAATTATTATAAAAAATAGTTTAATTTTAAAACTAAAATTATTAAAATGGATTAATTCTTAAAATTGGATAACCATGCACATCCCTAATCTTGACTCATTGCCACTCTTTACCTTATGGGTCTCCAAAAAATCAGTACCGGCCCTGACCAAATGTTTGTACTAGTGAGCATAAATCTATCGCCCCACCCAATCCGAACAACTCGACAAGGACATAAAGGAAACGGGCTGATTTAACCGGTAGGTACTCATGTCATCATGTTTCTGTCATTCTTTAGACTACTCTCAAACATTTCCATGACACGTGACTGCATTTTCTTTTATACATATTGAACTGGTGGTTCAGAAAATATGTGTCTTAGCTGATGTAGATCGAGTTGTAGGAGATGAAAAAAAGTTAATAGCAAGGTTGATAGCACTCAACGTTCAAGTCAGTATATGAATGAGGAATAAAAAATATTGAATTGGAGGTACAGGAAGATCATACCTAGGGATTGATGTCCTACATGTAATCTTCTCAATCATTCTTCCCCCACCACCGACGACCTCGGATTTAGCTTTCTCAAAGGTAATCCAACTTATTCTGCAACTTATTCTTCATTTCTGCAACTTATTACTGCAACTTATTTTAGTTCACATTTTCGAAAACGATAAACCCTCTTAACAAGTAGAATAACAAGTGTAGAGATTTATATTGAATAATTTCCCTGAGTCTATGGCAATTCTGGTGCTGGGCTGGAAACTCCAAAGCTGAGAAGAGATTTTCTTTTTGGTTCTAGAAGGGATTAATTTATAGTGTTTTTGTTTTGTTTTGTTTTGTTTTGTTTTGTTTTGTTTTGGGACAGTAGGGCTTGTGTGTGTCTGAGTTGTAGGAGGTTTTGAGTTTGTGGGGATAGTTGTAGCTCTTTGTTTCCTTTGTCTGCTATATGCCTCTGACAGTAGGGGCTTGTGTAAGTTACTACCCAACTTCCTTTGTCTGTTTGCTTGTGGCACCACTATCCCAATGAAATCTGACCTTATAGCCGTAATAGATCAATGTGTGGACTAATGAACCTTTAGCAGCACAAGCCCAATGAACTTTGATCCCATAGACTCAATTGGATCTATGTGTGGACAAGTGCATCTTTGCCACTACAAGCCCATATCTGGTAGTTAACCAAAATATGGTGATGCTGATGAGTTTTAGGATTAGGAGTTGAACTTCCGTTGTTCTTAGCCGTTGCAAAATATGGTCATGCTTTCTAGAAACTAGGAGTTGTAAGTTTTTGAATTAAAGTGGAGTGAGACTATGACCGGGTCCTTTTTCTTGTGAATCGCCTAATTCAACCAGGTTAGCTCTATCTTCTCTTTTCTTGTTAGTATAGTGTGAATTGTCAGTGTTCATCTTATCTTATCTTCTCTCATTTCAATTGCAGAAGAGAAGAAAAAAAAGAAGAGACCAAGCAGATGTCCCAAATTTCAACTATCACAAAAAATAACACTCATACTCATTCCATCACATGTATATGAAAACAATTTCTTTTACAAGTGTTTATTTAATTTTTCCATAAACTTGTGACGGCTTGTAATGATTTTATTAAGTGAAGGATTATAAACTTACTTTAATTGGAAATAAGATAAGATTAGGGATGATTGATTGTATAGCGGTAGTGGGGAGATTTGAGAATATTTGCTATGGTTTAATTTTTCTTTAATTTTTTTTCAATTTTTCCTCTGCAGCTCGAAAAAGAAAGCGTTCATTTGTAATGGGTCTAGACATTACTTTGACTTTTAGAGAGTTGAGCTTTGCAAGATACCTTAATTACCGGTATTACCCAATTTGGAAATTGGAAGGATCCAAACTTGTGGGTCGAATTGATGGAACAAGTTGGTGATGATGATGGTATAAATCTTGATTCAATAACTTCTTTTGAAATATGATAAGGACCCAACTATTGGTTGGGTTAGGAATAATGATACTTTGAGGAACTTTATTGATTTGGTGTTCAACCCGAATCCTCAAAAGGACAAAAATGGTTTCCTATCAATTGATGAGATCAAGGAAATACGAGATACGGGCTTTTGTGAACAAGAAGGTGAAAATACTATCATCCGTAGCGGAAGCAGGTCAAGGAGTTTAGACAAGACCAAGAGAATGAGATCTACAAGATCATCAGGTAACTACTCGCAGGTGGAGAAGCAACTAAGATGTTCCGAAACATTTGAAGAAATAGGTAACAGCTTGCAGCTTACATCAGTGTACAAGTATGCTTTGTCATACATTAATTTTTATTTCTAGATAGGGCTTATCTTACTTGCTAAGGATATTTTCAGATCCGGAGGTAGCGGTTTCTAAGAGATTCGGTCATCTTTGTAAAAATGAACGTGTGTTTGTTGATCAAGTGACTGATGCTTTAAAACATTTTTATGATGGATCTTGGGAAGAGAATCAGGCGACAACTCTAACAGCCTCTCTCTCTTTCTCACCTTGGATCTCACCTTCCTTCAACATAACTTCATATTTTTTACGCTCTTTTTTTATATCGGCTAAACCTTTAACCTCGGCTTCCTTCAACAAACTTCATACTTTTCAATATTTGTCCTCCATAAACACTGTCAGACATGCAATTGTTCGCCTGTTGTCGTGACTTTTGTGATGCACAACTTCGAGGTGTTACTGCCAAGCTTGGGGTTCACAAACGGCCAAGATCTGATAGGCAAATGCCCTTCTGTTTTTATTCCTAAAAGTTTTATGTGTTGTATCCATCCATGTCCCGTTGCAATCTTGTAAGGAATTTAGCATCAAGCCATAGAATCAAAAGCCTAAGGCAAAATCGATACCACAAAATTCCGCAAAATGGATACATATCGCAGATTCAAAGTCGAATGTTGGAATTTGAGGTGAAGATGAATATGCAGTATTGTGTAAAGCATCCAGGAAGTTAACAAACTTGCCAACGTGAAAGCTGTATTTAAATTCAAAGTATGGAGTTATGATGCAAAACATTGACCAGGTATATGTATAAACAAATGAGCTGCCTAAACTAAGATTCTAGATTGTTAAATGTGCCACTTTCGAGGTATATTTCAGGCCGGTTTGAGAATTAAGCAGCCTAAACTAATATTCTAGATAAAAAATTCAATTTAATTTTAAAATGATAATATAACATTCAACCAATTTCAATGAAAAAAAACATAGATCCTAACCAATTTGTCTAGTTGCTCATTTCTCTGAAAACGAAGTTTCGGTCTTAATTTCAAAACAATAGCAGTCATTAACTTGAAAAAGTAAAACTTAGAATAACTTAAAAAAACAAAATCAAATAATGTGTTCCTTTCTAGAATTGACGACTTTCTTCATTTCAGATCAGTATTTGACATTATCCTTTTCCTGTTTTCATTCCTTCAGCCTCCAAATTTGACAACTTCTCTTCACATCTCTCTCCATTATATTTCTTCATCATTTCTCATATTTGTTAAAAGAAAACCAAAAACTTGTTACAGAAGTTTTCATCATTGATATTCCATGGGACAACAATCGTTGATTTACAGTTTTGTTGCTCGTGGCACGTTGATCATAGCAGAACACAGTGACTTCACAGGAAACTTCACCACCATAGCTTTACAGTGTCTTCAAAAACTCCCTGCTTCTAACAACAGGTTCACTTACAATTGCGACGGTCACACCTTCAGCTTCCTCGTTGATAATGGATTCAGTAATAAATAATCTCTTTTTTTTACTGGTATATTGTTTTTTTTCCGGTTAAACTAGTGTTATGATTATTTGTTTTTTTTGCAGGTTACTGTGTAGTGGCAGTGGAATCTGTTGGTAGACAAATTCCAATAGCTTTTCTTGAACGTATTAAGGATGATTTTAATAAAAGATATGGTGGAGGAAGAGCTGCAACAGCAACTTCTAAAAGTCTTAACAAAGAATTCGGGTACCTGATTATGTTATATTATCTTGATGTTCAAAATTTATTAACGTTTTAAATAATTGTCGCGTAAAGACTGTCGTGATTTCAGTCTGTACAAGGCGATACTAATTGCAGTCGTTGCAGTAGCATAAAAACGTTATTGTCGCGGCTGTTTTTGCAACTGACCGTTTTTTAAATCTTTATACATTCAATTACTCTCGATAACATACTTACGATATATATGTTTTAGACCGAAGTTGAAGGAGCATATGCAATATTGTGTGGAACATCCTGAGGAAGTTAGCAAGCTCGCTAAAGTCAAAGCACAAGTTTCTGAAGTCAAGGGTGTTATGATGGAAAATATTGACAAGGTATTGCATTGAAGACGTCTTTAGTTTATGATGCGTGTTAATGTCTGACATCAGACACCAATTGATATATGGTTAACTTATGTTTAATCATTTTCATTATGATGTTTATGTGTCTGATGTTTGTGTATGTGTCGATGCTTTATAGTTATCTTTATTTGTGAAATTTTGGTAAGTCATAATATTATTATATCTTATGTGCAGGTTATTGATCGGGGAGAAAAGATTGAAGTTTTGGTGGATAAAACCGAGAACCTTCGCTCTCAGGTTAGATGTTTAATTTTATTGTTTGTTTTTGATCGCACATGATTTGTTGCATTACTTATGAAAATTGTGTGAGAATTGTAAATTGGAATGTAGATTGAAATGAAATGGTTTGCAGGCACAAGATTTCAGGCAGCAGGGAACCCAATTGAGGAGAAAGATGTGGTATCAGAACATGAAGATCAAGCTCATTGTTCTTGCTATCATAATTGCATTGATTCTAATTATTGTTCTTTCTGTGTGCCATGGATTCAGTTGTTAAATATTGTCACTACATTTTGAGTTGTTAACTATTATGATTATTGAACTTTTTGATTTGTTTATTAGACATTCAATGTCTTTATGTAGAAAATTAGGAAGGAAAATGTATAAGGTGTGGTAGAATGTGCATCATGTTTTTTATTAGACACCATCTTGATATAATTTTAATTTCTTCAATTAATTGGTTCACATTAGCCTTTTTATTTATGACTAAAAGTCATACCATTTTATAATTTTCGAGTAAACCAAAGACAACCATATGATTTCAAATCTTTGTTGCAACACTCGACAACGCACAAATAATCCATAGAACTGATGTGCATAGGATAAACTATCATTTATCAATGCATTAGATATTCCTAATTAATAAAAAATTGCAACAAAGTACATGTCTTAAAATAGACTTTTAAAGTTTGGTATAGTTATCATTTTCCACGTGTTTTTAGAGAGACATTTCTTCTCTCTCTAAAACTTAGCGTGTCTCCAATTCCTTTAAAGGTTTTGGTTTTCTTCAATTGTCTTTCTGGGTCTTTATTTAGTTTTCTATTGATTTTTCCCCTTTCTTTTTGTGGCTTAAGGTCCTTCTTGTTCTGTTTTTTTGACTGATCTTGTGTTGTTCTTTTAGTTGGGTGTGGTATAGTCGCGTGTCTTCAGAAATATGGATAAATGGAAACACATTCCTCTCTCAAAGGAGGAAGTGGAGGGCATTGACGGCGACGACAGATGAAGCTAATGAAGAAGAGGTTCTCCATCGTACCCTAATTGGGAAAATTTGGACTGAAAATCTGTTTAACTCGCGTGCTTTTACAAGTACTATTGTTGGAGCGTGGAGATTGAAGACTCTTGTCGAAACGCAGGAGCTGAGTGAAAATTTATACCTATTCAGGTTCTCATCGAAGAGAGATTTAGAAGCGGTGATGCAGAATGGTCCTTGGAGCTTCGATAGAAATTTATTAGTGTTGAAGCGTGTTACTGACTTACTGGCGAAGAGCAACCATCAGGCTTAGATATGCATTCCAGCTTCTTTTGGATCAAAGTTTATGACCTTCCCCTTATCCTCAAATCTGAAGCGATGGCAAGAAATATTGGGAATATCTCGGGGACCTATGAAGAAATTGATTCCAAAGATGTTTTGTGAGTGCAACTTCACTATTAGATGTTTTGTATGATGTCAAAATTCGAAAAACTAGCATTTCAGTATGGTGGACGGTATCCTTATGTCTTGTGGCACTCCCTTGTATTAGAGGTCTTAGGAATAATTTAAAACAATTTTAAAATTGGTCCCAATCATAAAAAATTAGTTTTTGCACAAAATCAACACTTATGTGTCGACCTGAATTTGTATGAGTCGACATATAAAATCTGCATTTCTGCATTTTCTTAAAAGCTTCAGTATGTGTCGACACATAACTTTTTCAGGTCGACACATGTACTGCATTTTTAAAGCAAAAAGCTACTGTTTTGCATGTGTCGACACTTAATTTTCAGATCGACACATATGTTTTGTGGGTCATTTTTTCATTTCGAAACTGTCCTCTTTTATCTAAAAAGAATCCAACTATAAATATATCATTCATGCATCATTCCAACTTGGTGAAACCATAAAAATTAACCTATTTCTCTCATCATCTTCACTCTCCAATCTATGCATACACACTGATATTACATTGTAGCGATGTTCTGTTGGGGTATCATCTAGATGAGGATTATTAGTGTTCAATTATGTATTGGTTTGAGCTTTGTAGGGGTTTTCATCCAAAAAAACATTGAATTTGTCCTCAAAGATCATTGGTTGATTTGGGGGTTTTCGTGCAAGATCATTCGAGAAGGAATCATCCATGTGAGTCACCTTGGAATGTTTAAAATATTTGCAAGGAACTTTGGAGTGTTTGAAATCTTTTAAAGGAAGTATGAAGTATTAGAAGATAGAATTGAAGATCTTGTGTTGATAGAGTGCAATCAGATTTACTCAAGTGAAATCTCTTGGAGTGTTTGAAATATTTGCAAGGATCCTTGGAGTGTTTGAAATCTTTACAGGGAAGTAGCTTAAGCGGCGAATAAGTTGCATTTATCGGTGTTGGTCTTGATCAAAGATCAAAAGAGGATAGGGGGTTCTATCAACATTAATCTGAAGGTTTGTATAGTTACTCTGAACACTTCTCTTGTAATCATACTTTTGCAAAATAAGAAATAATCCTAATTCTAAATTTGGAATTGTAGAGAGATGTAGCTATAACGAGGACGATTGGTGAACTTCCTAAACAAATCATTGTGTATCTTTTCCTTTATTGTTTTACTTGATTTAAATTTCATATATCAATTTGTCAAATAGCATTGAATAATCTACCGACGCGTAGGAATTTTCCGAGAATGATTTTATTTTGAATTAGGCGTTAAATTGCTTATAATCACTTTTGATTCTGAGTGCTTTTTCATATCAACACAATACAAAGAAAAATTCTGAAACTTTGATTGCACACCAAGTGTTTGAAAAATTGTTTAACTTGTTTAACTCAAAAGAAAATTGCAATGTTCTATCTCTTACTCTCATTTACTTTCTATATGCAATTTGTTGAATGTGTTGTTTGATTGATCAATTCATATAAAATTTCTCTTTGATTGTTAAAGTTTAAATTGCTTAGTTGATTAGCTTATAATCACTTGATTGTAAGTGCTTTTTTATATCAACAAAGCTCAAAGAAAATTCTGAAAAATTGATTGCGCGCGACATGTTTTATAATGTGTGAAGTAATGTTTTTAATATGATTTCATTGGAAATACGAAATCGTTGTGTTGCATATTAATGGTTAATTGAAATATTATTATGTTGATTGATTTTATCATTATGTTAATTCCATATGGCTCGTGTATATCCGAGTTTTCAATAATTAGGTTCGTTTAGACTACTATATTATGTCTAGGCAAAAAACTTTCTACTCAACATTGTTTTTCAAATAAGTTTTAAATAATCATTTTAAAATATAGTTTTTATTTATGTATCTATTCACCCCCTCTAGATATGTTTCTGTAGTCTAACATGTTCATCAATGTGGTCATTTCTTTCGGATTAAAGCTGTGATAGATTTGAAGCAACCTTTAAAAAGAGGAATTATGGTTCGGTTTAAAGAGAAACTAGTAAAAGACCCGTGCGTTTGCACGGGTCGCGTAATATCGATTTTTATGTGTGAAATTGTTAGATTTTTTGTTTTTTAAGTTTATTTGTGGAGTTTAGGAACTAAGAAGTATACCCTTTTATCTTTCTCTTATGAAACTTTATATATGTAGTTGTATTTTAATGGTGTACTTAATTGACATATTTCATGAGAAAAATAAATTTTGTGAGTAAAGAATTATAATTAGGTCTATATAAGATCTTTGTGTTAGTATGATAGACCCGTTAGGTCTATATAATATCTTTTTGTGCTAGTATGATAGACCCGTGTGAACGCACATATCGAATAATATGAATATTAATAATAGTAATAATAATAATAAATAAAAACATTTTAACAAAAAAAGAGAAACAAAATAGTTGAAGAATGACAAATTTGTATTTTTTATTAGAAACTTGTATTTTTCATATATCATAATTGTCTTGTGTTTTTTATTAAAACAAATATTTATAGAATATTTAGTATAAATTTCACCATTTTACCATTAAAAATATAATTTGTATAAGTATATAATTATTTGTAATTTCAATGTGCATATTTCTAACACTAAATTAATTTTTTTTATTAAATTAATTTTTAATTAATTTTTTTAAAAATAAAACTAAATTAAATTAAATTCTTAATGTCTCGTAGTAAATATGTACTCTCTTCTTTTGTTATAAACACATGTAATCTTTTTCACATATTTAAAAAAAAGTCAATAATTTTAATAGAATTAATTAATTTATTAATATTTCAATAATATTATCATATTATCAAATGTATATTAATACGTATCATTTTTAATTTATAAATTAAATTATCTCATAGACAAAATTAAAACTCGTTAAAGTTTTAATAACTTCCAATTACAAAAAAGTTATATTATTCACGTTTTATAATTAATCCAATTTCTCCCGTTACTAAAAAATAGTTTAACCTAGTTCAATAATAATTTAATATATATGATTCTTTTTAGATAATGGATTAGCAAAAAAAAAAAAAAATTATCCTATACATATAATTTGTTTTGAAATTTTTAAGGAATTCTATTTCCAATATTAATAAAAGGTATCATCCATTATTTTATAATTAATATTTTATAATTAATATATTTTTTAAAATTTTTGTCATGTAGGTAGAAGTCGGTACTAAAATGTGTATTTTTATTTTATTTGATACATTATCTATCAATTCTAGAATGATAAAAAAAACCATATTAAATTATAAAATTTTGTAATTGATATACCTAATTACATATGAATATTAATTAATATTTAATGAGTTTAATAATTAATAAATTAAAATGAATCTTATTAATGAATTATATTTTATTATATTAGATTTCTAATTTACCTATCATTTAAGATTTTATCATGTCAATTTAAAAAAACCGAAGATTTGGAATTATATGATAAAAAAATCAATAAAATATGATGGATAATTAAATTCTCCGCAATGATACAAATTACATTTTAAATTCCATTTTTTATTAAATAAAATTATATTTGTTATTAATCCAAAATGACATCGATGATTGAAATCAGATTGCGATTATACTATATTTATGGAAGAATATTTCCATTTGTCAAATAGCATTGAATAATTTATGGACGTGTAAGAATTTTTCGAGAATAATTTTGTTTTGAATTAGGCGTTGAATTGCTTATAATCACTTTTGATTACGAGTGTTTTTTTTATATCAACATAACACAAAAGAAAATTCTAAAACTTTGATTGCATACCAAGTGTTTGACAAATTATTTAGCTTGTTTAACTCAAAAGAAAATTGCAATGTTCTATCTTCTATATTTACTTTCTATATGCAATTTTGTTGAATGTGTTGTTT